TATTTATGAAAAATTTACAATGGTCGGTCGACCGGCTGGACATCCACCCAGTCGTCTGCCTGGTCGACCGGTGCTCTGATAAAATTTCAAAAATCTTCATTGGAGCACTTGATATCAATTGAAACTTTTACTCAAATTTTTACTCAAATTTGCTGAAAATTTTTGATGCACTGTTGGAGATGCTCGAACTACAATCATTTTGAGTGCATTCTACATCTTACAAGTCTTAAATCTACTTTAAATATTTTAGGTAAATTACATTAAATTTCTTTAAACTATAACTTATTTGCATTTTGTTCTCCCTTATTTCAAAACTCAATAGTTTAAAGTATTATCTTGTTACACTTAACACTTTTCATTAAGATTTTGTTAGAAATTTAAACAAAATCATATCATAACTGAAGTACATGACATACTTATTAATTTTTTAGGGCAATTATGCTCTTATTTGGTGATCTCATTTGCACTTCACCTTCTTTATTTTGATGGAAAAGTACAAACGGGCCCTCTATATAAGAACATTATTGTTCGAAAAATTTAGCAAGTATTTCATATGGTTTACACATGACTTAATTTTATGTAAATCCCTAACAGGACTCTAACGGAAGAGATTAATTGTAATAAGGTAATATTTCAAGATGATTAATTGTTGAGTTTTGAAATTAAGAAAGCAAAGTGCAAATTAATCACACTTTAAGGAGATTTATTGTAATTTATCCAATATTTTATTTCTGAGATAACTTCCCAAACAAAAATTCGTGGTAGATAGCACAGTCCCTCAACAAACTAAGCCTAGTCCTGTTGATTCAATGACTTTTCTAAAAATTTAGTCCCTAAGAAGAGAGATCATGAGTTCAACTCTCCCTAAGGGGAGTTGAATTAAGGGGTCAAACACTTGACCCATTTACAAAGGGCGAAGAGGCTAACTCTCGGAAGTAATAATCTAATAACTAACAATTGACTTTTGCGATAAAAAATAAAAAAGATAGCACTTTTCCTCTAATTCAATAAATAAATAAAAGCAGTGACAAAAGAGAAATCATTTGATAGTCTTAGAATATTCTTTTACACCATTCATATTATGATAATTATCCTATTGTGACTCAAAAAATAAAAATATATCCTATTATTCTATTATATAAGGTAAAAGTTTGAGTTGTTGTCTTGAAATCATTTTTCTATTTGCTATGTGGATTTTTGTTATTTCTAAATTATCTTTATTCATTTCATATAAAATCATCCATAATTCCATAACCACTTGACAATTAATTTACAAAATAATAATTGTCAATTACTATTGCTTGAAATTAAAATTTTTATTTTACCTATTGTACGCAAATATGATTCATTATGGATCTTTCATTTCAAAATAAAATATTATTGAAGATGAATTTATTGTTACATTATTTTTGTAAAGTTTTATGTATGAATTTTACATATAAATAGAATTTACCTTATTGAATAGAGTGAAAAATCATGACATTTGACTTAGTGATTGTGTAACACTCTTTATGGTATGAGGTCTCTGGTTAAGAGGATCTTGGTATAATTAGTCCTTATATTTTTAGGAGTCATCTTTTAACTATTTTCTTCAATAATGTTTTCTACTCTTCCTCTTTATTAATTAGATATTATATTTGAGTCTTTATTTAAAGAAAAAAAAAATTATATTTTATTTTTTAGAAGAGATGCAAGGAAAAAATTATATTTTGTGTTTAGGCAAGGTTTCATCCTCTCAAAATATAGAGAAAATAAAGTACACTCTTTATAATGGGATGGACTTTATTGTATTTTCTTGAAGTGGTATTTTTTAATTTTAACTCGTGAGAATATAAATATATATATGGGCAATAACATTAGAGATTTATCTTTGAAATTTTTGAGTTTAATTTAAATAATTTTATGTTTAAAACGATATTATTTGTCCAAAATGACACAAAATTGTTTAAAACTCTTTTTTTTTTTGATAGCTCGGTGTCAACTGGGGGACCAATCCCACCGTCCTTTAATGGGAGGCCCAATTAAAGTTTGGGTAAAGCCCGTATGAATTGCCTCAAGCAATTATTTGCACCTAAGGGGTTTTTATCCTAAGACTAGAAGGGAGCACATCTCCAGGCTCCAAGATTTGACCACCAGGCCTATCTGTCCAAAGTTTACATCTCTGTTTATCTATTCAAATGTCAACTATAGGTACATGTGTTACATATTTGTTCCAATGTTCAATTATTGTTCAAATATCACCTATCTATACACGTGTCATCTATCTATTCAATGTCATATTTCAGATCAGTGAGGCTTAGTCAGAATTTTGAGTTGCAGAAAGCAGATTTTTCAGAGGAAGAGATCTGGGCAACTATAAAAATCAGTGAAGGGAATATGGCACCTAGCCCGGATGGGTTTAATCTATTGTGTTATCAGAAGTATTGGAGGATAATGAAGGGTGATTTGGTGCAATTTATGAAAGAGTTCCATTCTCATGGCAGATTGGTCAAAGGGATTAACAGTTCCTTTATGACATTGATCCCTAAAAAAGAATATGCAGCGGGTTTGGCGGATTTTTGACCAATTAGCCTTGTGGGCTCAGTTTATAAGGTGCTATCAAAAGTATTGTCAAATAAATTAAAACATGTATTGCTAGAAATAATTAGTGAGGCTCAATCTGCTTTTTTAACAGGCATGAATATTTTGGATGGTGTTCTAATAGCAAATGAGGTGGTGGAAGGGTGGAGAAAGGCTAAGAGGAAGGGAGTGATTTTAATACTTGACTTTGAAAAGGCCTATGACTCAATTAATTGGGAATCTCTCTTCTCAATGTTGGCAAATTTTGGTTTTGGTAATTGTTTAAAACTCTTTTTTTTGATAGCTCGGTGTCAACTTGGGGACCAATCCCACCGTCCTTTAGTGGGAGGCCCAATTAAAGTTTGGGGAAAGCCCGTATGAATTGCCTCAGGAAATTATTTGCACCTAAGGGGTTTTTATCCTAAGACTAGAAGGGAGCACATCTCCAGGTTCCAAGTTTTGACCACCAGGCCTATCTGTTCAAAGTTTACATCTCTGTTTATCTATTCAAATGTCAACTATAGGTACATGTGTTACATATCTGTTCCAATGTTCAATTATTGTTCAAATATCACCTATCTATACATGTGTCATCTATCTATTCAATGTCATATTTCAGATCAGTGAGGCTCAGTCAGAATTTTGAGTTGCAGGAAGCAGATTTTTCAAAGGAAGAGATCTGGGCAGCTATAAAAATCAGTGAAGGGAATAAGGCACCTGGCCCGGATGGGTTTAATCTATTGTGTTATCAGAAGTATTGGAGGATAATGAAGGGTGATTTGGTGCAATTTATGAAAGAGTTCCATTCTCATGGCAGATTGGTCAAAGGGATTAACAGTTCCTTTATGACATTGATCCCTAAAAAAGAATATGCAGCGGGTTTAGTGGATTTTCGACCAATTAGCCTTGTGGGCTCAGTTTATAAGGTGCTATCATAAGTATTGTCAAATAAATTAAAACATGTACTGCTAGAAATAATTAGTGAGGCTCAATCTTCGTTTTTAACGGGCATGAATATTTTGGATGGTGTTCTAATAGCAAATGAGGTGGTGGAAGGGTGGAGAAAGGCTAAGAGGAAGGGAGTGATTTTAATACTTGACTTTGAAAAGGCCTATGACTTTGAAAAGGCCTATGACTCAGTTAATTGGGAATTTCTATTCTCAATGTTGGCAAATTTTGGTTTTGGTGAGAAATGGGTCTCATGGATCAGAGAGTGTGTATCCTCAACTAGATTATCAATCCTAGTGAATGGTTTTCCAACGGATGAATTTAGTCCCCAAAGAGGTCTTAGGCAAGGAGATCCTCTCTCTCCTTTCTTGTTTATTATAGTGGCTGAAGGATTTAATATGTTACTATCTAGAGCGTTGGATTTGGAGGTAATAAAGGGGGTAAGAGTTGGAGTTAATGGTGTTTCTTTATCCCATCTGCAGTTTGTGGATGATTCCATGTTATTTTGTGAGGCAGAAGTTGTGGAAGTGGTAAATATAAAGAGGATTTTGAGATGTTTTGAACTCGTGTCCGGTTTGAAGATAAACTACCACAAAAGTGTGGTTTGTGGGGTGGGTGTGGAAGAAACTCTCTTGGCAGACTTTGCTCAAAAACTAAACTGTAAGGTTGGCTTGCTACCTACAACTTATCTTGGTCTTTTGTTAGGGGCAAATCCAGGAAGGAGGAAAACGTGGAAACCAGTTTTAGACAAAGTTAGAGATAAACTAGCTGGTTGGAAAAGAAGGATACTGTCCTTCGCAGGTAGGTTGACTATGGTCAAGTCAGTTTTATCTTGCTTACCTGTGTACTACTTGTCTCCCTTTAGAATGCCTGAGGGTGTAGCTAAGGAATTTGGGAGAATTCAAGCACCTTTCTTATGGGGAGGTTCAGATCTTAGAAAGAAGGTGCACTTGGTCAAGTAAGAGGAGGTTACTACAAGTATTGGGCAAGGAGGTTTGGACATTAGAAAAATTAGGGTAGCTTACTCTTGCTTATTATTTAAGTGGTGGTGGAGGTTTGTAAGTGAGACAAAGGCATTGTGAAGGAGAGTGATCTGTAGCAAGTATAATCAGGAGGAGTATAGTTGGCTGCCTTCTATTGCTATTAGCAATAGACTGTCAAGACGATGATCCGACATAATCTCAATGCCCAATTTCAATCCAGATTTGCTAGACAGGTTTCGGGTTAATTTTAAGATAAGGGTGGGGGATGGTAGTAGGGTAAGGTTTTGGGAAGATAAGTGGTATGGCTCATACTGTTTGAAAGAAGAGTTTCCCAGATTGTTTAGCCTGTCAAGGGAAAAGAAAGGCTAACTTAGTATCTTTTCTAATCTGAAGGAAACATCAAGGGAGTGGAATATATTACCTAGAAGGGAGTTTTTTGAATGGGAAAAATTGGAAATGCTAAGGTTAGCCTCTATCCTAGATTCTGGCCCTATAGTTAGCAGGGGAACAATGGATCACCCACGGTGGGCAGCCAGTTCCATAGGTATGTTCTCAGTATCTTCTTTGATTTGGAATAATGTTCTTCCTCCCAAAATGCAATTCTTCGGTTGGCTCATGTGGAAGCATAAGATTAAAACTTCAGTGTTTCTACAAAAGATTGGGGTTCTTACGGGTGGTGTGTCCACCTTGTGTTACTTCTGTAAAGAGGAGGAGGAATCAGTGCGTCATGTGCTGCTACATTGCCCCTTTGTGTGGAATGTTTGGTCTTCCTTATTAAAGTGGTGGGGGTTGCAATGGGTCATTCCAGATTCAGTTGCTGGCCTACTGAGTTGGTGGGAGAGTGGTAAGCTAAAGAAGCGAGAAAGGAAGATTTGGAAGATTGTCCCTGTTGCCTTGTGGTCTATATGGAAGTTAAGAAATGATTGTCTTCAAAGAGGCTAAGGTTGATATTTGGGATCTATCTGACTTGATTAAAACCAAGGTGGCTATTTGGTTGATATCGTCATCAAAGGCGTGGCAGTACATGGTTAGTGATTTTATTTATAATCTTAACCAAATTTGTGTTTGTATTGGGGCGGGTTGAGAAATCTTGTTGGCAAGATGGGTGTTTTACTGGGCTGGGCAAGGGTGATTGTGCTGTTAGGTGCTGCAGTTTGTCTGTTTGGGTCTGTGCATTTTTTGTTTTGTTTGTTCTTTGTTGGTACCTTACCAACTTCGCCTTGAGCCTTCAGATGATTGTGCAGTCCTCTTGGTGCCAACCTAGTTGGGATTAGGATGAGTTACTATGATGTACAACTCCTTGGCCTTCTTTATTGATGTATTCTATTATGTTTTTCATTCTAGTTTCATCAATAAAGTGTTTATTTTGCTGATCAAAAAAAATATTTGTCCACTATACTACCACCTGCTATTGTGACCGGCTATTGTCCGCCAGTTGCCAACGACGATAACTTTTTTGGTGACTTTTTAACGTGTATCCCTATCACTTAAAAAGATTAAATCTTAAACTAAATAACACATGACTCCATAAAAATTAAATTTTCAACAATTAATCCTAAATAAAATGTGACTATACCCAAAAAAAAAACCCTAAATAAAATGTATTTAGTGCGGTTATTGGAAATGCTTTTCATTCATCTAATTCGCCAATTTAGGTGAGTTGGGTGAGCCAACTACTCACTTATAACTGAAATGGATTAAGTCTCCAAATTTGCTATATTATTCAACCACCGACAAGCAGATTGGATAGGAAAACTGGTTAAATGATTTTGGGCAAGTAACAAATAAAACTTTTGAGTTTGTCAATTTTAATAAAATAAAATTTTTCATTTTTACTTTTAATTTTATTAATTTAAATTTAAATTTTTTGATTTGTTTTTAGGAAAAATTACTCATAAGTCCCATATTAGAAAATGTTACTCTATTTAGTCCTGAATGTTTTTTTTATAAACCATTTAGTCCTTTTTTTACATCACAACATTATCATCAAAACAACATCAATCATCATCATCATCATCATCAAAACAACTTCACAACATCATCATCCCTTTCTCTACCTTAGAAAGATGATCAGAGCAATAATCAATCCATAGATACCCAACACACCAGCCATAACCACTGGAACAATCGACTTCATCACAAGCTCTGGTCTCATCACACCCATTGACGCCACTCCAACGCCACTCTTCGCTGTCCCATACGCAGCCCCCATACCTAAAAAACACATCCATATATACGAATTGCAGATCCAAAAACAACAACAACAAGAAGAAGAAGAAGAAGAAGAAGAAGAAGAAGATCAAGTTCTAATTGAAATCGGACAAGGGAGATTGAGAGTTGGTGGTGTTACAGGAGAAGACTAGGGCAGATGCAGTGCCGAGGAAGCCGAAGAACGGTGTCGTTTCATCGCCGCTAAAGGTTGAAGCCATTGTTGTTGTTTTGTGGTTTCAAGGGTTTGGAATTTGCAGAGAATTCGATCGGATCTGAGAGAGGGAACTGCGGATTGGAGAGGTCGGATTTTTTTTTTGGGGACTGAGATTGGGCTTAGGGCTGGGTGGAGATGGACAAGACTGATCTTGAAGAAGGAGAAGCTTATCCTCCTTACCCGGATGATGATCGAAACATCGATCCCGATGAAGCTTTCTCTTATATTAGAAGGGTTTTGTCAAGATCCTGATGGTGTTGTTGATGATGGTGGAGCCGCCATTGTTGGTGGTCGGATATATATACACATTGCAGAGAAGAGAAGAGAAAAAGCAGGGAAGAGATAGTAGGGATTGATTATATATATACATAATGTTGATGGATGGATAAAACAGAGGCGATGGTGTTGGTGTTCGATTGATGAATCTAATGTTCTAATGAATTTGATGATGGATCACGAGCAATAGTTTTAATTTTTTTAAAAATAAATCTAATGTTTGATGAATAATCCTAACGTTTAATGGTTGTGTTTGATGTTTGATGAATAATCCTAATGTTTAAGGGTTAATGTTTGATGAATAATCCTGACGTTAATGTTTGATGTTGGATGAATAATTTTAACATTGCTAATGTTTTCACCGATATTATACGAATAATTCTGACGTTGCTAATGTTTGATGTTTGATAAATAATTCTGACGTTGCTAATGTTTGATGTTTGATGAATAATGTTTGACATAAAAAGGCCTATAGTAAGCTTTTAGAGAAATAGGACCTATTAGTCCAACAAAAAACCTTCAAGACTAAATGGGTTAACATTCTCAAATTTGGGATTTATTGGTGCTTTCCCGTTGTTTTTAATTCAAATTATCTGTCTATTTTCGATAAGTAAAAATGATTAAAAAAGAATATTTTAATCATTAAATTTAATGTAAGTATACATAAAATGTTTAAAATATTTATTTCATTAAGTTTAATGATTAAAATATTATTTTTTTCATTAGTTTTACTTAGCAATAATTTAAATTGAAAACAAATTAAAAGATTAAAATTTAAATTGATAAAATTAAAAATTTAGAATTCATTTTGTTACAAGTATAAAATCATGAGTATTTTTTTTTTTTTCAATTTCCCATTGATTTTCATTCAAACTAGAGTTGGCTGCTATGTACACTTTATTTATTTATTTATTTATTATTTTTTTTATATTGAACATTCTTGAAATTTAAAATTTGAAATATATATATATATATATATTAAATTTTATAAGTTTATTATAATTAAGTTGAATTTGTTTAATATTCTAATTCACATAACAACTTATATATTTTTTACCAATTTTAATTGTTTTAACTTTATTAAAAAAAATTTAATGTAATTATGCCAAATTTATAAATTTTATTATGTTTTTTAAAACATTAAGAGTAGTGAGCATTATTTACCCTTTTCATAAGCTTAAAATACACCGGAACAAAAACCCAAGGGTAAATTACACCTACACCCTCCGAAGTTTCTTTAAAATATATATTGTCTTTTATAGTTTGAAAAATTATAAATAAGTCAAAAAAATTTATTTATATAATTAACTGGAAAAATAATATTCTTAACTACTCTCTTACACAATAATATAATTGTTTGAATTATTAAGTGAAATAAATTTTTGATATTATTAAAAATTATTAATTGATTTGATGATTTATCAATAAAAGGGCCATTTGTTATTAAATTAGAAACATCAGGAGGTAAGATATAATTTCTAAAATCACATGTGAACTGACCCCCTAAATTATTGATATCATAAAACCCCTTAATGAAGTTAGAAGACATTTAATTACCAAAATATTGTGACGACTGTTAGATCCTTACTTGTTGCCAATTCCGTGAACAAGCTTGATTTATGTGATTACCGGGCTCGTGAATCGCCTCACTTTTCCTTAGTTGGGTGGATTCGTATTTTTGAAAACTCTTGTTAAAAGTTTCGTTCTTTTTTGTTCCTTTTCCAAAGTTTCATTTGTTCCTGAAGGTACGAGATTGGATCCGGAGGGTTTCAAACCTAATCAAAAAATTCTGAGCAGGAAAACTGGGCCGCACATGCGGGAAACAAGGGAGGCTTGGGGTGCATATTGGAATAAATGCAAGTGCGGGAAGGAGGTGCGGTAGGTGCCGCACGTACGGGGGTGAGAGCCGCACATGCGGGAGGCACACGCCGCACGGCGGGAGTGGGCTCCGCACGTACGGGAAAAGCCCATATCCGAGAACTCTGCTTTTTTTTTTCTTTTTTTGGCTGGGAATATCTCATATTTTTCTTATCTCTCTCTCTCTAAAAATACCATATCCTTTCCCTTCTCTCTAAAAATCCTCACCTAGCACACCAAACAGTTGACCCTTCTCAATCCATTGAGATTTTGAATCAAATTCTTTTCAAAGCTTGAAGAGCTAATCAAGGGCTACCTTTGGAGCGGTGGAGATCTTATTTCAACACCTTCAAATATTTAGGATTTTCATCTCATCTTTCATCAACAAGCTTGAGGTAGGGAGATTTCTTTGAGTTATATATATATATATATATATTTATGCTAGATTTTGTTGATTTAAAAGTTTCTTTAATGATATTGAAAGTTTGGTTTTGTCTCAGAAATGTTGAGGGTTTTAAAAGTGGGTTTAACCTATTTCTCTCTCTCTAAACTATTTTCTTGAGGGTTTTAAATCACATGGTAAGAGAGGTGATGTTTTGGGGAGAAACATTTTCAAAAGATGAGAGAATGTTGATTTTAGAGAAAAACCCTAGAAATTTGGGGTTGAAGAATATGTTAAGGATCCATGAAATATTATTACTACCAATGTTATTATTGTTTTCTTGTGTGTCAAATGTAATGAAGAAAGGGGACTTTCTTAACAATGTTGATGAAGGAGAAATGGTAGGAAATATGTGGAATAGTTATTTTTATTTATTATTGTTAAAATGTAGTTATTCTTGATGAATCTAAATGGATGCGTGGTCATCTTGTGAATCTTACATTTGGAATGAGAAGTGGAAATTACAACCACTAATGGGATAGTGTATGGAAAATGTTGAGAATTGGAAAGATGTGCATTACATTGATAGTTGTTGCATTGGCATTTAATTTTGGTTGATCATTGTAAATCCGTGAATAGAGAAATTGAAAGCTCACATTGAAAAAAAATGTTTGTGTAAATGAGAAATTATTGGATTGTTTGGAGTAAATATGTTGGTAAGTCTGGATAGGGGGTGTAGATGACATTGATTGAGTTGGCCTGAGTGTCCAAGGTGAAAGACGGAAAACACGCACGTAGTATGTACCACGAGCCTTTTGGTTAGCTACTGGTAAAGTGGGGTTTTGGTAGAGCTTGTTATGCCTATTTGCAGACACCAACCTAGGGATTACCTGAGTCGTATTTACTGCCCCGTGAATTTGATGTAAAACATTTGAACTGTTGGTACTTCCATATTTTTATGGTGCATGACGGTTTTCAAAAGAAAAAAGATATGATTTCCTTTTAATGGCATAGCATGGCATGAGCATTTTCATTTCATGGGAATTGCATAAATGTATATACTTTGTTAAGGATTTCCTACTGGGCTTTGTGCTTACCCCTATGGGATTTTTGTACAAGAAAGGATGTGGTGAACCCACTGAACTAGGGTGTGGTAGTATGTTTTTGAGAGTGTAAGACTCTTTTTGTTGTGATAGTAAATTTTTTGTAAGCCAAGGGCTATTCGTGTATGGGTCCAAGAGACCATTGTTGTGTAACCGGGCTTAAGCCTTGGAATATGTAAGCCCTTAAGGGCATTTTATTTACTTTTGGGATTGAGTGCTCTACATGCTATAGATTTAGGTATCCTACACCATTGAATGTATAATTCGCATGCGGGGCTATTTGTATAAACCTTATTGATTAATGATGCAAAGGTTGGAGAATTGCCCTTATTCTTTTATGAATGTTGGTTGATGTATCTATTTCATGTTGGATTATTTTTTTGGGGGCGTTACAATTTAATTGAGTTGTAATTTTTCCCTGATTTTTGGTCTTCCCGCTTGAGCGGAGTTTTCACTTTCTCAGTAGTTTGGCTTGTCTGCAAAAGTACTGAGAGGTGTGATTTTATGCTTGAGCGTAAGTTTTAGCGCTCAAGCGTAGACCCTATTTTGTCACACGTGTTTTAGTGATACCACTCGAGCGGCAGGTCCTGCGCTTGAGCGAGGATCGTGGATCTGTTCACTATAAAAGCTGTGGTTTTGTCAAGTGTTAGATTACGGTTTCCAAATCTTCTTTGAGGGTTCTAGGGTTTTCTTCTGGGGCTATTTTGCTAGTTTTCTTCGATGTTTGATTGAGTATTAAACTCATGGTTTGACAAGCATATATCAAAGAGTTTGATTGTTCAACTTCAAAAGTGTTTTTCTTCTTCGGTGGAATCTAGAGATTCAAACCTGGAGTATTTGAAGGAGTTCAAAGCTGTGTGCAGTCGTTGGTTCGACATGAATGTTATGGATTCAACATCAAGCTAATCAATTCTGATGCAAAGGCGGTGGTGAAAGAGATACAGATTGTTGAAGATAAATTGATTGCATTTGGGTAATTTGTTTTGGTATATTTATATTCTTTCTTTCTTTCATAGTGGATTGATTAGTGGCGTTTCGCCCGTGGTTTTTAATCACAATTGGAGGTGCTCCAATTAGGTTTTTCCACATAAAAATCATTTGTGTCGATTTATTGATTTTGAAGCAACAATCTAAATCACTTTCGTACGTGCTAGATGGTTTAGATTGTTAGTTTTAATGGTTTGGGAATTGGTACAATTAATCTTGATCTGAATCATGAATTGCTTAGGTTTTTCAGTTGGTATCAGAGTAGGTCACTCTTGGTTTTTAGTAAAACTGTAAGAGTGTGATTTTGTGTGATATGTGATATGGATTCAATTCATAAAGGTAACTCAACCCATAGACCTCTGTTACTTGATGGTGCAAATTATTCTTATTGGAAAGCTT